TGATGGCAGTGAGTTTGGCTTGGTTTTTTGTTTTTTGGATAGCATGTCCAAAGTAAGTGAGATGAAGCCTCACCATGCTTGCTTCTAAGGAGTATTCTGGCTATATTTCTTCCAAGGCAGAGTAGTCTTATGAAATGAGTCTTAAGAAGTGAAAACCAAGATCACTGTAGGGCCATGTTCCTTCTGGACGCTCAAGGGGAGGATCCATTTCCTTGCCATTTCCCGCTTCTAGAGGCTTCTGCATTCCTTGACTTGTGGCCCCATCCTCCATCTTTCAAGTACACCACTCCAACCTCTGCTTCCATTGTCAATCTCCTCTGTCTCTGACCCTTTTGTCTCCTTCTTATGTGGACCCTTGTAATTACTTTGGGCTTGCCTGAATAATTCAGGATCATCTTCCCATTGCAAGGTCCTTAAATTAGTCACATCTGCAAAATCCTTTTTACCCTGTAAGTTAACACATTCACAGTTTCTGGGGATTAGGACATGGACATCTCTGGGGTATTATTATTCTGTTGACCATGTACAGAATCCTTGAAAAGTTGCTGGCTGGCAGATAGAGTGTAGAAAATGGATTTCTCTGCATCATTTTCTTCAGCTGAGATGATGCTATGCTCTCATCTATGATATCGTGAACACGTCTATGTACCTACCTATAAAGTTAATATAATGGGCTAAGGAAGGCAGAATTGGAATTCTTATTGACACAGAGAGAAAGGCCAAAGAAAATGTTTTTAGGGAATTAATTTCTGAGTAAGGAGCCCTGGTGGCACTGTAGTTACACACTCCATTGCTAACCAAAAGTTGTGATTTGAACCTATCAGCTGCTCTTCTGGAGAAAGATGAAGCAGTCTGCTTCCATAAAGTTTATAGCCTTGGAAATGTTGTGTGGGAAGTTCTACTCTGTCCTATAGGGTCACTATGAGTCAGAGTTGACTTGATGCCAATGAGTTTTTGCTTTTGGTGGTTCTGGGGTAAAAGAGAGGCCTACAGAATTCCAGTGCTGGGCAGGAGGTGAGGAAGCCCACTGCTGAGGGGAAACAGCCTGGGCCAGTTCTCAGTTTTGACAGCTACTGGAGTTGAGCAAACCTTACTTAACCTTCCATATTTAAGTACAAAATCTTCAGGAGCCCTGTTGGCATAACTGTTAAGTGCTCAGCTGCTAACCAAAAGATTGATGGTTTGAACCCACCCAGCTGCTCTATGAGGGAAGGACCTGGTGCTCTGCTCCTATAAAGATTACAGCCTAGAAAACCCCATTGGGAAGTTCTACTCTGTTATATGGACCCACTGTAAAGTTTGGTTTCATTAGTTGAAATCAACTTGATGGCACCTAACAATAACAGCCACATTCTATAACTGCCTTCCCCACCTCCAATCAATTTGTGCAAAAGTTCTTAACCAAAAAAAAACAAAACAAAAGTCACTGCTGTCGAGTCGGATTCGACTCATAGCGACCCCTCCTTGCAATTCCGAGGAGGTATCACTACAGAAGTAGATTGCCCAACCTTCCTTCCAAAGAGTGGCTGGTGTGTTTGAAGCACCAGCCTTCTGGTTAGCAGTCAAATGCTTTAGGCACTACGCCATCAGAGCTCCTTCTTGGAATCTAATAATTCATTCATTGATTAAGGACAAAGTCTCATAAAAGCTGCAACTGAATTTTACCTTGTCAATGCCCCATGTGAGTTACTAGTTTCATAAATCCTTAGAAAGCCTACAAGGATGTAGTGCATGGTTTAGAGTGAGTAGAGGGAGGGGATGAGACATGAGTACCTCATCTTACAGACATTTCTGCTGTTCAGAGATTGAGAGAGAACATGGGGATAGACGAGGCGGGGGCTGGACCTGAGCGTATAAGGCCAAGGCGGGAACCTGAATCAACAGTCCCAGAAACCTCACAGATGGAGAGAATGGGCTTTGACCTCAGCAAATCAGGGGCTGAAGCCAGCTCTCCTAGCTCAGGCTCTCCACTGGACCCACTGGAGACATTTGACTATTGAGGGGAGAGTAGCTATAGACTTAAGGCTGTATTCATTCAACAAATATTTACCAAGTGCCCTGATGAGCCAGGTCCTGTCCTAGGAGCTGTAAGCAAGTTAGATGTGGTTTCTACTAGCTTGTGGTCATCTAAGGGAGACAAACAGTAAGCCAGTAAATTAAAACAGAAAACACTGTTCATCCAGGCAACATCAGAAATGCGGGGAAGCTAGGCATTTCACTAAGTCATCCCAATGTTTTCACATGAAGGGCTCACAGAGTACTGGGAGGCAGAACTGCAGTGACCACATCATGTGATCTGTGCCAACTGCCCATCGGGGGATCTTTGCTTGTCCACCACTGTTTGTGAAAAAATGAGAAAAAAATAAGTACATTTTTTCATAAATTAAATCTATTAAATTTAAGGAACTATCCCTTATTGTACAAGTTGCTCCTTTCAATAAAACTAGAATATTTTTATGCCCCGAGACTGAGAGCAGATGGTGATCATTTCTTTAAGTGGCTCTACTTGGCAAAGTAACAGTGATCAACATCATGTCTGAGTGGTGCAAACATTTAACACATATGGCTGCTAACTGAAAGGTTGGAGGGTTGAGCCCACCCAGAGGTGCTTCGGAAGAGTCTTGTGATCTACTCAGGAAAAATCAACCATTGCAAACCCTAAGGAGCATAGTTCTACACTCACACATATGGGGTCTCTGTGAAGTGAAAGTGACTTGGTGGGAACCAGTTAACCCTGTGTCAGTCCTCCAAATTTGGTGAGGAAAATGTCAAATTAAACTGTGAAATTTAAGACTTTAAAAAGCCACCACAAGTGTTAGAATAGGCTTATATGGGCCTACAAAGCATTTTGGGGGTCCCTGCCTGAGGTTTCTAGGGAAGGCTTTGCTGGGACCTCCAGTTTGCATTCTTCCTCAAATATCTGACCTGTTCTACCTCAATTGTTGGCTTTGTAAAAAATTTTAGAAATGAAGTCTGGAAACTAAGAAGATCCAGTCAAGGCCAGAAGGTTTGTTTCTTAGTCTAGGTTCCTCTGGGGAACCTCAGACTAATTCCTCCCATAGATTTTTCCAGATGGCTTTTCTTTTTCATTTACTTAAGGTATATTAAATAAATAAATATAGGAAAAGAAAAAAAAAAAATCCCACCCAGAAAGAATACCTTTTTTTTTTCTCACGGGAAAGAACTCTTGGTTCTATTTTAGGACTGAATGAAGCTCTGCTAATGAGTTTACCCTGGTAAAACATTGAAATTCTCCCAGACATACTAATTAAGGTACTTTTTGTCTTTTCTGTTGGTTTTAGCTTTGAAGATACCATGAGAAAGGCATGCTGTGAAATAGAGGAGCCAAGTTTGGAGGGAATGAAATAGTTCCTACTTGGCAATTAGCATTACACTTGAATGGCCTAGTGTAGAGAGTGGTCTCTGAACTGTTTGTATGACCCACATGCCTAGACTGTAATGTGTGCTTGTACAGTTGAATGCCCTTCCCCTAGAGTTGTACAGTGTACAACCTATGTAGCTGTAAACAGTGGCCCGATGCACCCTGACAAAAATAGACATGAGCATGGGTTCTGTATTCATTTCCTAGGGCTACCCTAAACAAAGCACCACACACTGGGTGGTTTAAAACAATAGAATTTCATTCTCTCACAGTTCTGGGGGCCAGAAGTCAAAAATCGAGGTGTCGCAAGGCCATGCTCCCTCTGCAGGCTCTAGAGAAGTTTCTTTCCTTGCCTCTTTCTTGTTTCTGGCGGTTGCTGGCAGTCCTTGGCGTTCCTTGGCTTGTCGTTGCATCATTCCAATCTCTGCCTCTGTTGTTACATGGTGTTCTCTCTCTGTGTCTCTGTCTCTCCTCTTCTTCTAAAGATAACAGTCAACTAGAGTTAAGGGCCGACCTAATCCAACATGACCTCATCTTAACTAATTATATCTCCAAAGACCCTATTTCCAAATAAGAGTACATCCCAAGGTTCCAGGTGGGTATGAATTTTGGGGAGACACTATTTAACCCAGTTCAGACCCCTAAGAGAGTATGCTTGTTATAAATTATGTGACTGTTCTGTCATCAATCCACCTAAGTGGATATATTAGAATATAAGTATAACACCTAATTGATATATTAGTAAATAATGATTTATATCCTCTTTCAAGATAAAAAAAAAATGAAATTGAATAGCAGTTATAACATGTTCCATCTGTATTAGAAAGGATGGTTTTGAGCACTCTTTGGAGGTAGGAAAACTGTACTTTGGAGATCTTGCCTAGGAAAAATTCATATGAATTTTCTTTATCATTCAGGCATAGCAACACATTTGTTGTAACATGTTCTGGTTACCTAGTGCCACTCTGACGGGAATATATACTGTAAATGGAATGGCCTTAACAAACAGGAGTTTATACTCTTACAGTTTGGAGGCTTTAAGTCCAAGTCAAAGTGCCAGGCTCTAGGGCCTGGGTGAAAGCCCCTCCTCTTGGGGTCCAGCTCTCCCTCCTACTCCCGGCCCACTGGAGCTAGAGGCATTTCTTCACTCAGCTAGCTGCTGGCTGCTAAGGCTGAGAAGCTCCAAGATTGACAAGTAAAAAGGCACAGTCCTGATGTTACCAAACCACACAGCAGACCATTAACTTAAGTCCACTGTAAATCCCAAGGTTGGCAGAACATAGCAGGCTCCTGAGCAATGACATGGCTACATGCGGGTCCAAGTATGCCATAGGCTCAAGATCATTCCCAAGGCTTCTCCTTGTATACAGGAAGCAGACCACATCCCAAAGGCAGCTACTCAGCTGCTTGTGGTAGATCCCACCATGGAGCTGATTGCCAGTCTCTTCATGGGGAGTAACTACCACCAGCTGCCCAGCCACTCAACCAAGCCCAGCCAAATTGACACACCAACATAACTACCACATAACACAAGAATGCTTCTTAGCAGGACAGTACCTGCTAGGACTTCCCACTTCTGCCAGGACCTAGGTCCTCATCTGCTGGTTTTCCATTTCAGAGTACACAGTAATTAACGAAGCCTGCCCTGGAGCTGAGTGGAATATCATGTGCCGTGAATGTTGTGAATATGATCAGATTGAGTGTGTCTGCCCTGGGAAGAAGGAAGTTGTGGGTTATACCATCCCCTGCTGCCGGAACGAGGAGAATGAGTGTGACTCCTGCCTGATTCACCCAGGTGAGTGTGAAGTGGGAGACCTCTGGTTGCCCTAATGTTGTCTGAGGTCATGAAGGAGAATACAGGTGAGCTCAGGTGATTAAACACCTGGATTCTGGGAGGCAGCCATCAGGGGGCTGTGGTGCCATGATGATTAAAAATGACATAATTTAGCTTGTTCTAGCTGTAGTCAAAGGAATTTGAGGCATTTGTTCTCTTTTCAGTGTTAAGCTTATAAAGCTGTGAATTTATCCACTCATTCATTTAACAAACATTGATGAAATAGCTGCTATGTACATCAGGTAGTGGGAAAACAGTGATTTTTTTTTAAAAAGACACATTCTCAGTACTTACAGCCTGGTGGGGAGATGGAGAAGAGAACAACAATGACAAAAAGAAAAAAAAAAGCCAAACTCACTGCCATTGAGTCGATTCTGACTCATTCTGACTCCCTTTGGGTTTCCTAGGCAGTAAATCTTTATGGAAAAGATTGTCCATCCTTTTTTCCTCAGAGTGGCTGGTGGGTTTGAACTGCCAACCTTCCGGTTAGCAGTCAAATGCCTTAGGCACTACGCCTTCATAGGCAGCTACAATACAGTATGGTTAAGTACTAAGATGGAGACACATAAGGTACCATGGTAACATGGATAGGGAGAGAAAGTAAGGAAAGACTTACTAGAGGAGGTGTTGTGTGTGCTGAAGATGGAGGCAGAAAACTGAAAGGGTTGAAGGTCAAACCAGAGGGGACAGTGTGTGCTAAGGCCCTGTGGCAAGAGAAAGCACGGAGGTTAGGGAATTTGCAAGTAGCTCAGTCTGGGTGAGGAATTTGTGTGCACGTGCATGTGTATGTACATGTGATGAGAGAGATGGAGAGAGATAGAAGAGATTAAGAAAGAGCCATCTAGAGAAGACAACAGGGACCAGATCCTGTAGCGTTTTGTAAGTCATGCTATGAAGATTGGGCTATATCCTGAAGATATTTTGATGAGATTGAAGATCTTTCAGTGAAGTGGTAAAAGCAGGTTTCCAGCTTAGCTACAGTGTGGAGAAATGACTGGAAGAGAGGCAAGATCAGAGGCAGGAGAGGGATAGTGGGGACTTTACTGAAGACAAAGAGAGTTGGAAGGATTTGGGGCTATTACAGAGAGTGGAATGAATGGAGTGGCCAGCACTTTGGATTGGATGTGGAAGGAGAGGGAAGGGAAGAGCAGGGGCAAGGATGATGCTCTGGTTTCCGGATTGCACACTGGGGAGCTGGTTCCTGTGATATGAGAGAGGCTTTGGATGAGATGAGGCTCCCCAGGTTATCTCGCCTTTTCCTTCGCCTTTAAATCAATCTGAATTCCTCCCTGCCCATGCCCACCAGCCACTACTATAGACAGGATAATGATTATTTAACAATTGCTGATTTGATAACCTCTCTTTAGTGTCTGTTTGAGTGTGGCCATTGTGGACACTGAACCTTGTGCTAAAGAAGTTATTTCCAGTGTGATCAACAACTCATTAAACTTCTTGACACTTCTTTGTTTTCTGCCCTACACTTCTGACTTTTTCCCAGGGGCATCTTACCTTTTCCCTTCTAGGCCAGGTCACAAGATTTTCCAGTACGCTTTCACTGGGCTCAAAGGGTATCAAAAGTATTCTTTGGGAATTTTCCTCATTTCTGTATTCCCCTCTTTTTAAAAAACACATCAGTGCCAGAAACCTTCTTTCTCTCATGGAAAGCTCTAGAATAGGAAAGAAAATGGGGTACAAGTATGTACATGTGATATTTTAACCACATCCCTTCTTGGAAGAAAGTAATGGTGAGCTTTAAAACAGGAGTATTCTCAGAATGATGTTTATACATTTAATTTTAGAGAAGAAACCCACTGCCCAAATTCCCTGATGGATGCATGTGGTTAGCAGGAAACAATTGAGTAATTCTCCCAAACTTTCCCAGAAAATGTTGAGAGCTAAGCCAGGACTGTCAACTAGGGACCCTTTGCAGTGGTATAAAAGTCTTTAAATGATTTTCAAGAGACTGTTGGGGTGAAAGTGAGGCTTTGGTTTTAGGAGATGTCATGGAGGCTATTTGACAGATAAGACAACTTAATCAGGGGTGCTGTATGCTTCCTATTGCCTCACATAGGAGGCACACAACATCTGCAGTCCCCCCTTGAGTGATGCCAGAAGTTGGTGGATCTCAGTAGTGAAGAAATGTCCCACATCTACTGTCTGGTTAAGAAATATAGGCTAGAGGCTTCTTTTTGTAAAACTAATTTTCAGAATAGTGAGTTGATGCCCCAGCAACTATCAGTGGTTAGCAAAGAAATGTGTGTGTGTGTGTGTGTGTGTGTGTGTCATTATGAACTCAAGAGTTTTGATTTATGTACTTTAATCCATTGCAATCACTATATATTTTAATGTACATATTGTCCCATCTTAGAACAGTGGGAGCCCCTTCTTGTTAGCTTCTGTGTCATTGTGACATGATTACATTGGTCTATTTTTGCTTCTTTGATTTCTTACAAGACAATACATTTCAGGCCCTTCTTGTATATTACTTACCTCAGATCTGGAATCAGCCACTTCTCCAAGTTACTTTGGTTTGAGACCACAATCTGGGCACTAGACATATTCTTGGCTATCAGGCTGTCATTGTTACTAGTATTTTTTTTTTTTTAAAGTGGATCTTGCATTTTTTTAAGAATAACAAAATAGTAAGTTGATGCTGATAGTCAAGTTCAAATGCACTATTACAAGATTGTTTTGGTCTTTGATTTTATGTTTGTATCTCATTTCTCTCATGCTGAAACTCTGTTTCCTAATAACCTACTCGCTTATTTGCTTTATTCTATAATATAATATTATAACATAATTGTGCAAAATAACAGTACCACTGTTAGTACTAACAATGAGACTACTAAATGAAGTTAGATTTCTTTGTGGTTATTTTTGACTTTAGAATATATCACACTAGGTATGTACAGTCAAAAATACTATGTTTTAGGGTTACTCAGTGTAATTTCTTTCTCTGTGGTTTCATGCTATGTATTTTACCACATAGGCTTATTGGTTCTGTCTTCTGTATTTCAAAAAAATGTACACATATATTCATGTTTCCTCCCCCTTCTTGTACAAAAGATAGCACAGCATAATCACTATTAACCACCTTACTTTTTTTTTTCTCTTAACAATATGGGCTGGAGATCATTCCATGTCAGTTCATAGCTTTTTCTTCATTTCTCATCACAGTTGCATATAACTCCATTATGAGGATTATCATAGTTGATGAACATTTGGTTTGTTTCCAGCCTTTTACTATTATAAGCAATACTATAAGGAGCTTTGGTGGCACTGTGGTTAAGGCATTAAGCTGCTAACCAAAGAGGTCAGCAGTTTGAACCCACCAGCCACTCTGTGGGAGAAAGATGAGGCAGTCTGCTTTGGTACAGATTGAGAGCCTTGGAAACCCTATTGAAGTTGCTGTGAGTTGGAATCGGCTCAATGGCAGTATGCATAGTGAAGACGACAGTGAAAAGCCTTGGACAGATGTCATTTAGTATTTTTGCAGTGTATCTTTGGGGTAGATTCCTAGGAAAAATGATCGGTGGGTTAAAGGGAGAAGTAATTTTGCCAGCCTTGTCCCATTTTTCTCCATATATTTTGCATTCACACACTAGGAGTGTTTGTTTTCCCAAAGCCTTGCAACAGAACGTGTGTCAATGTTTTGCATTTTGGCCAATCTCATAGGTAAGAAATGGTATCTTAGTATTTTTAGTTTGTATTTCTATCATTACAATAAACATTGCTTTCTCTGTGGTGGTGGCCAAGGTTTATAGCAGGATCAAGGTCAGGGAGGATGAGTGGAAGGAGTATGGATGGTGACTTCCAGAAGTATCTGATGCTTTGTGATGGCAGCAATGGCCCCCTCACTAGACCCTTTTGCTACGTGGTTTATTGCATTCTAGGCTGTGTAGCTCTGAACTTGATCCTTTGGCCCTTCTGTCAATTCTCTGGGCTGCCTAGTATCATCTTAACCACCAGGCTGGTTTATTTATTTATTTATTTTACTTGGTGAAAACATACATAACATGACATTCACCAACATAACACTTCCATATTTACAGCTCAGGGACACTGATTACATTTTTCATGTTGTGCCATCATTATTGCTATCCTTTTCCAAAATATTCCACCACCTATTAGCATAAACTCAATCCTCCCCAAACAAAAGCTTCCCCTTTCCCCCTCCCTCCCACCTCTGGTAGCCACTAGTAATCATTGCCATATATATATATATAT